GTCGACGCTTTTAAAATGAAAAATTAGAAGGATATAAAAGCCCCCCCCCCCATTATGGTCATCAATAGGATTGTTCTTAAACGAAGCCTTGCCTGATATATTTTGTTATTATTTTACCTAAATGTGCTCCCATGCAGCGATGTAAGAATTTCATCACACGACAAGTCGCTTGAAATCACATGCAAACTCATGACCAATCAGAATCCTCGGCCACCTCGCTATACAGGCCAGGAGGGCGGACCCCGGAGCCTTGCTTCACGGTTCTGCCTGAGCTGTCGTCCATCCTTCCTGTGGCAAAATTGCCGCTTCTTTCATTAATCTCCGACCGGGGACATCATGATCGCTATTTGCGAGAACAGCATGGGTCGTCCTTACTGTGCATTCGCTATGATGCGAGAGCAATGCATCTGCACGAAAACATTACTATCCCTGGAAGGAGAGCCCTCCTGGTTTTGGCAGCATGAAGACTGGTCATTAAGTGCCGCTGGTGCCTTTTGCATCAGCCCGGCCACAAAGTTAAGGCTGCCAACGTAGGTTTATGGCCCACCGGAACAGACCAAGCTTCTCCTGCTTGAGGACCGTATAGATCCCACCGCAGCGGTCAGGTAGCTGGGCTTAGGGGCAAAATACTGCTGTGTCATCAGTTATCCTGGGGCAAGGCACGCACGCCAAACCTCTCCAGCAAAAAAATCTAGAAGTATGAATGGTAACTGTAAATGGAAAACTGTATGACAAGTTGGATATGAAACCATCCAACGAGCATAATATAATAAACGAATAAAGATACAGACTAGTGAGGTTAAATGCTGCTGGATCGTGTCTCATTTAAGCGCGTCGACGAGCGAGGTAATTAACCTAAATTGCACTTCAAAAGCAATGTCTTAATTGGCCGCTATGGATAAAAGGACTAAATATAATTGGCTGATGAGATTCATCCAAGGTCTCCTTCTGAGGGGAACCTTTTCTTAGTCTCCATCTTCCAGTTAAGAATCACGCAGCTGCCAAGATGAATCTACACGCACAGCTCCTCCGAAGCCACTTTTCACTCTGTTTTCTGACATTGGCGGAAACGACGGGCACGTCGGCACAATTCTGCACACGCCCGTCGGGGCATCTCGAGCTCCAGGACCTGATTCTCAGGCAGAGTGGCAGCCGCCTCTGCTCCAGCTGGTCCCGGGGTCTAAATGCTGAAATAAAGGGATTTGTGTGGTGTCTGCACAAGGTCCACCCCGCACGGCCAGTGGTCTGCTAGGTGGGCTTCTGTCCAGACCAGGGCTTTCCAGCAACACAGCAAATAAATCAACTCGGGGGGGGCTTGTGGTGGTGGTAGTGGGGTGATTCTCATGGTTTCATTGCTGCTGTAAACAAGCAGGGTAATCTGCCTAAAAACAGGGCCCTTTCAGAACCACCTTTGCTGCATTCCACGCACAGGACCTTATCTTTATTGGTGGAGGACAAAAAGATCGCGGGGTGGGGGGGGGGGGGGGGGGGGTGGGGGGGGGGGGGGGGGGGGGGGGGTGCTGTGGGGGCTATTTGCATAATATGAAATAAAGAAACACAAAAGACGAAAGGACTGGGCCAAAGCTGCAGCTCTACAAGTACAGCATTGTGCTGATGACGCGAGGTTGTGGGTTCAAATCCCGAGCAACGCATATAAATTGTGTCCCTTTCATCTGATTTGAAGAGGCGATGAGTGCAGAGTAGGGGCTGAAGAAGCAGAAAGTACTTTTCAGGGCAAGCACATATGCTGAGGTGGAAGTGGGGATATCCATTTTAAAAGCCAGGACCTGGAGTGAGCCTTTTAAAGTGCTGAGGATGGGGTGGGCGGTTGTGTGGGGGGGGGGTTAGGGTTGGGGGGGACGCCTTGGGAAACCTGCATGATGACACAAACAATTACAGGGAAAATTCATAACACGGCCAAGATGCCTTCCCATGACTTATTTGCGACCATTTCCGCGTGTTTTCAAGCATCAGGAGAAAGAAAGGTCTTGAGGAGAGGGGGAGTGTGTTTGTGTGTGTGTTGGGGGGGGGAGGTAGAGGAGTGTATGAGGTGGGGTCATCAATGGCTGCCAGCGTACTTGAGTTCCGCCGTTGATGCTTGGCTGGGATGAAAACGCAGAGGCACATCCAAGTTGGTGGGACGGCCGATGGCTGGCGGTGCTGAGACGTGTCACCTACAAAGAGCGCTGGGAAAATATGAGCAGTGTTGGGTTTCATATCTGGATAGTTGACGATTTAATCGGCTGTGTCAGAGTTTGCTCCTACTCACAAGAGTGTGTGCAGGCCCACCGGTGCCTATGGGAATCGCCATGGAAAGAACACACGCTTGTATTTTTGGGACTGTAAAAATTGCTTCGTCATCGTTTATTGTTGTAGACCTGTCACCATACCGGTTTATAAATATTATCCACCTTGCATATAGTCTTAGTACTATACGATTATTATACTATTATTTTACATTGTAAGCAATTTCAGAGACTACAGCTACCTAGGTTTACTTAGGAAAATGTATCCCATTTACTGGAAACGTCGGCTGGAACCATTGTAAAAAACGAGTGATATGTTAAATCAAACACTAAATGCTTCATTGATGAAATTCGTTTTACACAATCACGGTGCTCAATTAATTAATACAGTAATGAAGCGGCGATTCTGCAGGATGGATAGCGCAAAGGTAGCGGGAACTAGGCCTATTCCGCGAGACCCAGCCGCCCCTTCAGGACCGCGAAAGGACAATCTCCTGACAATTTATTTAATTTGTAGGGGTAATTATGGATTTTTTTCCACGAGGATATAAAATAGTGTTTTCAACCCTGTGTTCCCTGGCATTAACAGAGGAGACAGTAAAAGATGTAGCTAACTGCTTTAACATAAACAAAAGGTCTGTAGGGAGGCTTTTTATGGAATATGTGTGTTTAACTGGAACTTGACACCTCTGATTTATTGCTATATTTAGATAAGAAATGCAGTAAATGGTTTCTAAATAGCGTCAAGGTCATGTAATGTAATAGGATAATGTTTTAGCCCGATAAAGATAAGATGATAGCGCGCGGGGAAGAATGCTACTTGAAGGAGGCACGAGGAATGAACAATACCAAGCGCGAGAAAGTGATAACCGGCGCGTTCCTTTCAGCTGCCTCCAGATGATTAAAAATACTGTACGCGCGAGCAGCAAACACTCAAACCTGCCCCTATTTGGAGATGCATCCTTATTTTACTGTTACACCTCAATTTGCCCTAAGAACATGTCGCCTTGTATTTATACTTAACGGTAATTGATAGTATTTGTTAGTTTTAAATAGTGTTTAATAGGTTTTAGTACTGTTCAAAAGTGTTTAATACTGTTAATAGTGCAATAGTAGCCGTATAGTTTCAGAAAGGTCTACATGAACTGACAAACTCGAAATTTAAGGACACTTTCCATAGAGATGGGTAATCTACCACGGGGGAAATATTCTTATTTTTTTTATTTTTAGCTGATTAATAAAAAGAAAAAAATTGAATACCGAATTATTTCTGGAGTATGCAACTACATTTATTATAAAACTGCACAGAAGTAAATTTAATATTAGGTTATAGGCCTACTGAGGATTATTATTGTATACTATGAATAACTATTTTTTGTAAACGCATCGTTTTAAAAATGTTGATTATACAACCATGTCAGGTTGAAAATGTAGACTACAATAAAACAAATTTCGCATTGTATTTTCTGAAACTAAATATTGAATTAGGCCTACTCGCTGATAATTATTTGCTTTTCTAAAATAATTAAAAAATATTTTAAGTAATTAAAACTCCCTTTACAATCCAATACTCATATTAACAAATTTGAATTTACTTGCAAAATTTTGAGATACGAACAATTCGCACTTTAAACATAGTCTATACCAGCACAGATAATAATCTATTGCATTTAACAGTATCCAACTAAATTTAGGAAAAACAAGTAAACTCGCCGCAAAAAAAAAAAAACTTCCGCTGTAAAACCTATAATAACTTGTTTACTCTAGGAGACTTAAAAAATCTGCAATTAATTCGCGACTGTTCGTTGAGTAATTTATTTGCACATTCGTGAGTTCTAAGTCATGCAAAATGCCTTCGCCAGTTTAATGAAGTTGCCAAAGCCCTTGAGGAGTTGGTGTGAGTCCCAGCCCCCGCGCCGCCTTTAAACTTAAATCACCCGGCTATTGCCCTCACAATGTAGGTTTCCTGCTGACGGATCACAGCGAAATATTGTACATAAAAAGCACACTTCCCCGAACGTTAGTTCACTACAAAGCGACACGATAAGACTCAATTTATACGGTTACTTTAAATTATATAGGATTTCGTTACACTTAGACGTTTAATTGCAAGGACATTTTGTATTCGACGAACCACTTTCCTATTTGTTTTTCACATTAGGTCATAGATTTTTTTTTTTTACCCAAACAAAGTTATAGACAATACTGTTGATTTAAACTAAAATACAAACGCAAAAATACATATATAGGATTCCCGCACCTACTCTCCTTGGACCCCTAATTATTCGTAATGAAATTTAGAACAACTTTTAAAACAAAAAAAAAAAAAGCATTCGTGATATTATAGCCTACAACTGTAACAACTGTAAATCTTACATCACAAATCTAGTAGTATACACACCCTTTCGACACAAATGAAACTAAACAGTGAATTCAAAAGGATGCCTTTTTATTTTAGTTTTTATTTTCGTTGAGCACCAAGGTATGCATTTAATTTTAGGCTATCACACTCTCACACAGAAATGCACGCGCGCGCATGCATGCGTAGGCTACATATGCTGCTATTAGCACAGCTGCTTGAGGCGTAGCCACCAAATCAGTGCCCTTAATCATCACTACAGTCTTTCAGGGTAGAGTAATGTCGTCCAGTGGTGTGCAGCTTTGCCAAACGAGAACCCCCCCCCCCCGCCGCCACCCCAACGAAATCTCCTCCCAACTCCTTATCTGAGACGGCCATTGGCCGGTCGGAGGCTCCTCGGCTGTCAAGGCCGTATAAACTGCGACTTGGCCATGCACGGAAAGGGCCGCATTTCCCGCACGCGGATGACTTTGCTGCGCGGAAAGGGAACTTTCCCTTAGCTGCACGGGACGTTGATCTGTCATATTTACGTACTACTTCTTTAATTACGACATTATGACAGCGATCCACTATACAATCAGACTTCCAAAGTAAATTAATTGTAATGCATGTATCTTTAAATGATATTTCGCAGAAGCAGCAACTGATGCCTTGGATAGGTACCCAATTTATTTGCTTTTGTATCTTAGTGTTTATATAAGGACAGTCGGAACCTTTAGAGGAAAACGGAGAATATTGAAGATACGGAAGACATTGAAGACTGGGGAAGACAATTATTCGGGCTTTTCTAAGTTTCGAAATGAATCTCATTGGGAGTTACCAGCATCACCATCTGATGCACGAGACGTTTCCCTTCGTGCAAAGGTGTCATCAAGATAACCCTTACTTCCAGAGCTGGGTGGTAAACCACGCAGAGGTACAGCCAGATTTCCAGATCCAGACCTCCTACACTTCAGAGTTCATGGCGTCGGGGCCTGCGCATGACACCCAGCTGGATTCACTGGCCGGGCGGATGGGGAAGAGACGAGCATCCGGACCGAAGAAGGAGAGACGCAGGACGGAGAGCATCAACACGGCCTTCGCCGAGCTGCGGGAATGCATCCCGAACGTGCCCGCGGACACAAAACTATCGAAAATAAAAACGTTAAGACTGGCAACGAGTTACATCGCATATTTAATGGACGTGCTGGCTAAAGATGCAGGTGAGACGGAAGGATTCAAGGCTGAAATCAAGAAATTTGACAATAGAGATTTGAAGAGGAAACGAGAAATGGTGAGTTGATATTAAGTTATTGAATATGTATTGCAACCAATTCTATGTAATTTTATATAGTTTGGTGCTATTAAATATAACTATCGCTACAAGTAAAGCAAGTAAACAAGAAACATAATAGTAAGTCATAAATACCCTTTTTCATATTTACAATATTTTTCAAGAGTGTCACATTTTCTATGTAATGTAGGGTAATATTAGTGTATCACTTATAAAGTCAAAATGAGAACGTATTGTGAACTTATTTTATATTTAAAACAAAACAATCGCTATACACGAAACAATAACGGGCAAATAATTAGTCAGAAAGCTGTACACTATGAATCATTTAACCCCGTTTAAGTCTTAAAAATATTTCTAATATCATTTAACAGTGCCACCGTATTAACGCAAGGACTTTGTAATTATTTGTAGTAAGTTTCGGGCTTTTAAACGAGTTAGATAAATATATAGGCCTATATATTTTTTTTCGCAGGCCTAAAACTACAAACGTTTAAGAATTTAAGAAAAAATGTTTACTATGTATTAGTTACGTTATGGTGTTCATAAACATGCCTTGAATTTGGTCAGTGTATTATTCAGGTAGTAAACATTAATGGTAGTACTGATTGGAGTGAAGTGTGAAATCGAAATTTTGTAAGAAACTTTAACAAGGCAGGGAATTTTGCATATTTATCTCATGTTGTAACTATTTTCTAATTTTGTCTTTCAGAGTGACGATCAGCAAGAATCACTAGGAAACGAGAAAAAATTTAAAGGACGGACAGGGTGGCCCCAGCAGGTTTGGGCCCTGGAACTCAGCCAGTGAAAGTCGCGTGTCTCGCAGACTCCGTATTTATCCGCGTGTCACCTGGAATACAAATGCTGGTACAGGCCTGCATCGACGTGCAAACGTAAGAGTTTTAAAAACCACAGGGAACACGCCGAGAGACTTTAAAGATAATTTAGGCCTACCAATTATTTTTTAACCTTCCTTAAACATGTGTTCGGTGTTTTTTTTTCCTACCAAATGACGACATTTAATTTAACTTCATATGCATAAAAACGCAAAATAACGGAAAAATGTTTTTTGTGTTTTGTGTTTTTAAATGGTGATCCCCCCCCGAAATTGTTACTGATATTGGTATTGACAAGTTAGCACTATTTTTCCTACTGAGGTGGTATTGACAAGCAACTATTGTATCTGTCGTACTGTATCCTGTATATGTATGTTTGAATCTACCTCAAAATAATGTCACTATTAGACTAAAATATAATAAATATAAATATCGAGTTTATTACATTTCTTAGCACGCGTTACACCTCAAAATGCCTGACTGATTTGTCGGATTTCTTTATTTTAATTTCTGTAACACAAAATAGGCTAGTAAAACGCCACCAAACTCTCCGTTAATTACATAGCTAATGGTATTCGATAGGACAGTAAATAAACATGTAGGCCTAACACGCCTAGCATCAAGTAAGCTTATTATGAAATCACTTCAGAAATATCACTGTTGGCTGTAATACGTTTCCTAAAAAAAATAAACAGCAATGCTCAGTTTTACGAAACACTAGGTCAGGTAATCCGAAATCAATGTATATTATACGCTCATGCTCACTAGGCTATGTACAAATTTACTTATTAAATTCGTATCCTTCTCGAATTTAAGTGCTCTCGCGTGCCGCAACACCTCAAAAATAATACTGTTGGTTGCAATAGGCTACGTTTGCTAGAAAACTGCATAGCAATGCCCATCGCACACAGCAGATGGAGTGCCCTGTATATTGGCCAGGGATGGATTCGAGGTGCGTGTTTGTTTTAAAATATCGCCTGTTTATTTACTCGTTCTTATCGCTCTGGTGTTGATGGGCCAACACGAAGGGGTTAATAAGCAGCGAGACGCGACGGAGCCGCATTAAATTCCCCTCGGACGGTGTATTCGCGAAGAAATGACGGGAACCGGCTCTGCTTTTCATGTTACGGGAGGGGTGAACGCGTGCTTCTAATTTGCAGCCATTTTATGCATAAGCCTATATTTAAATATCAGATGCATTCGTTTTAATCCTAATTACTAGCAATTAAATACACTGTCCCAGCAGACATACATACTGTACACCTCTATTTAAAAACAAACGATAAGTTTATGCATTATATTTAACTTCAGTTTAGGCCTATTATACTAGCAGTTTTGTTGTCAGTTGGATTTAGTCCTAAGAAAAAACGAACTATAAATAATTAGGGTAATTTTAATAAGAAAAAAATATCCTAAAAAGGAAAAAAAAATTTATAAAAGTCGACCGAAAGGTACCCCTCGCTGTTAACGGGAAAACCACGTTGAAACTCCACAGTAGCATTGGAGTTCGTCTATAAGGTACTCGATGAAATATAGATATTTTAATGTAGATTGTATTGTTAAATGATTCTAAACTCATTAATTGTATAGTTAGATCAAAGTCAATAAACTGGATATACACCTAACAACTAAACTCTGCAACGCAAGTGACAAAACACATTTCCACCGACGAACGCACGATTCGGTGGAGAGAAAGCTCAGTAATTTATATCCGGACCGAGTAATTCCTTTCTATTCTTTTTTGGGCCAAAAAGCTTCAATAATCAGTTGCCTTTTTTGTTCAATAAATAAATAAAAAAAACTACCTAAATTTTGCATAGCGCTACTGTCTAGACTGCCGTTATTTAACATATTACGTGTCACAGAATGGGCGTCATACCTGCCGTCGTATAAAATCGACGTGACAACTCCGTTGCATAGATATATAGAGGATGGAAGATTTCATACTGGTGAGTTAGCAAGTTTTCATTAAAAACGCAACATAACGATTGAGGCCTACTATTCCAATGCATTACAGCAGCGTTCCTGTAAAACTAACTTAAAAAGTGGCATTGTGCTGAGGTAGGCCATAGGTGCAGTTTTATAACAAACTAGGTCCCAGTTCGCGATGCTAATTGCAAGTCTAATAGCAATTCTGACCGGTTTTGTTTGAGTTAGTATTTAGGGTGCGGTTGGGAATCGCGTCTTGCATGAATTACTCGTTTCTTAAGCGAAAAACTCATTCCAACTATGTAATTTACGGCTGAACATGCAATTTGCATGTCTTCTCCAATGAGGGAGACATGAGACATAGACGTACAACTTATTTCCAAACGAAGCAGCAGGTGCATACGTCGGAGAGCCCGATCAGCTAGCCGCAAACACGGGCTACTCTAACCATGGGGATAACGGGCTAATGAGCGGCGACAAAACGGCGCTGGTCCCAAATAATGTGTTTGATACGTCACGCTAAGTGGTCGTCACGCATCGTCACTTTCATCAACGGTCTTTTGTCGTTTTCCCTTTATGGACACAGCTCTAGAAGACGGTGCGATGGACGCCAACATGTATAAAATGGCGCCACCCAGTGGTAGGACAATGCATATAACACTGCTTTGTACTACGCCACTGCATTGCACTGCCAGTGTAGTACAGTATCTGGCAGTACATGCTAATTGTACTGCCAGATATATATTCCGAAACTATAAAGCAAAAAGTCACAAATAAACTACTCCAAGATATTATTCGTATTAAATAGTAGTCAAATTATGGTATTTAATATCAAGAGTAGGCCTACATAACCAATGGATACTGTTACGGCGAGGAAGTTTCAGATTCGATATGACAGGATATACTTAATCTTCATCCTGATCGCAGTTACTTAAAAACCCTGGGCAACTGCAGGCCAACACATAAAATGAAGATTCTAGACTCCTCACTGCTGACGACACGAAATTCAGTGATACCTATATCCTTACTGCTCGAAACTGATGAATAGAGGCCATGGATCGCATGTAAACCATCTGCCAAAACCTGTCTTTCTGATGCTCTGGACTTCTGATCCACTTTCGTATATTAACGAAAAAAGAATGTGGGAATTATGTCTAGTTTGACTACATGGCATTAGTCGGTTAAAGTCAACCAAGAACCAAGCAAAAGTCTCAACTCTGTTGTCTGTGACGGCACTTTTATTAAATAAGCCACAAGAATATATGCATGTTTAACCTAAAACATCAACTATGTCAAAGCGAAAACATAAGAAAACTGATGTACTTACAAATATTTAAAAATGAGTATTGCACTAGTCTACTATAGTTCATATCTCATTTGAAAAAGAAAAAAAAAAAATACACAAAACATATAGACATAGGTTTCAGCAAATAAGGCTTCTTAAATTTCAAGTGAATTAAGTTTCTGGACTGAAATAAAACTGTTGATTTAAAAAAAATCTAGTTTATGTGAAGTCCAAATTTATACCAGAACCAGATGAGGGGAAGGCATATGGTATAGAGGAAAACCTGATTTCTATGCCAGAGTTTATAATGAAATTGCTTAAAAACGCAGATTGCAGTGTAATTCAGTACATTTTTTGATTGCGAGTTCAAGTTGAAAGATCTCAAAAGCCTTCAGAGATAGAGATGACGTCAAAAGCAAGATAACGAGACGAACAATCGTTAAATAAAACATTAGTGACATCACACTGGCTCCTAATTCGGGTTCCTTGCAATTATCAGCAACACATTTCACGACTAGTAACATCCAGGATTATGTTGCTAGGCAACGAGTCCCAGCATGTAACCTGGAGTAACGAAGATAACCAGCACCATGTTGCAGTAAACTGCCTATTTTGATCCAGTGCAATATACCTGCTGTCTGACTGATTGCCGTAATATTCTGCAAAATGTTAAGCGCTTTCAAAGTGATTCTGCCATTTTAAGACTCTAGCAAAAAGAAGGTGGAGTATGCTGGTTCAGAAGGGACTGATCTTAGGATCCATTTCCCAGTAGGTTAGAAAAATCGTAAATAAATAACAGTGAAAAGCTGCAATACCGGAATCCTCACATGGATATGCGCTCCAGAAAACTGAAGGGTGTAGGCCTATACGATTCATTCAGTTCTCCAGCTGTCGTATGTAAGGCCGTGACCGAAGCGATGAAACATCGGCAATGGACTTACGCACGGCTCATGAAACGGCAAATCAGATACAGTAAAAAGTGATTTTTCACAGCAACACTGAATGGAAATCAAGTGGACATGGACACAGATAAACTAAAATAACGCACATTTTATAAAGTACTTACAGGTACTCTCTATGCTTAAATACATCCTAGTCAGATAAAAATGAGAGTACTGAAAATAACAAATAAAAACGTAACATTGTGGAATCTGATTGGGCAAACGAGACATGTGACCATGAAATACCCAGTCTAGGCACAGTGACCACCAACAGCGTTCAGTTTCACGACAGAGATCCCTGTTAAACTACAAAAACAGGTAACAGGAAATTTGATCCCAAGTTCCTTGCCTGGAGCCAAATCGTGGTCTCACGTTTCCGAAGCGTTTTTACTACCGTGCTGGCGCGCCCAAGCTCGATTTTTCACGCTGTACGTCTAACGAAAATGAAAAAATAAAAAATAAATGTAAGGCAGAAATACCTACAATACTCTCCTCCAGAAGCGTACTCTTTTTTTGTACAGTATATTCACAACACAGTTTTACCCCACCGCCTGCGTGCGTGCGGTCCTCGCGTCGGGACGGCTCAGACTCGCATGTCCGTTTTTATTACGATCCGCCACGGAGTGCGGGCCCATCAATCCAGCTGCTTGCCGCCGTCCGACTTCTGGTCCAGTCGGCTCTTGTTGCTCTTCACCATGTAGATGAAGTAGGTCAGGGTCTCCTTCTCGTTCACGGGGATGTTGCGGAAGTGACGGCTGACCGTCTGAAAACGTAAACAGACGAGTGGGTCAGCGATGGTGGAGAAGCGTGGAGGGAGCCTGTGTGTCCGTGATTACGGGATCCGCCGTAATTGCAGGGGAAAGTCGTGATTTTTCCCCCCTACAGTGGCCGTTTCCATGCACGTCACTTTTAACGTTAACAGACTGGAAGTCAGAGCAATGTATTGAAGCCTCTTTCACATTCTGGGCAATCAGAGAATAATAATGATATTATTATTATTATCATTATTATTATCATTATTATTAATAATAATAATGCATATGGAAAACAAACAAAAGGAGATTGAAAGTTTTCATCCAAAAGCTAGTTTCGGTGGCGTGATTCGGGGAGAGAGGTAATTGGACTGAATCGTTGACTTGAACTTTATTAACGGTGTGCAAGTCTCATTATAGAATGTCTGGACCTCTGCAGCCTAGGCAGACCTGGTCAGGTTAATTTATTTTCGCAACCACCCAACCCCCCCGCTCCCAAACAGGCTGGGAATGACACATTGAGAGGGTCGTTTCAGTAATTCTATGCCAGCTGCCACATCGGAATGAGTTCACCTGTTGATTTTTTTCCAGAAATGCTCAGTAATTACTAAGTGACCGCTAGCTCTCGAACCCGAATCGCTTTCACCACATAAATCACCGGCAAGGCATTGTGTGGCTTTCATTAATAAGATCAACGTCTTGAAAAGGGAACATTCCGTTTAATATTTCACATCTGAGGGCGTCACGCAAGCTGAGGCTGGAGAGCCAGCTCGGTACCGGTGAAAAAAAACACAAAGGCCTGTAGTTTATTTTTTAATCGGAGAGTGTTTTTGTTGCAGTCTGAGGGACGTGCTTTGTTTTTTTTTCCCCCTCGTTATGGACTGTTTAACGTTTTTCTCCATATAACAAGCTACTTGTCTCTCAATCAAGGCCGTCACGTCACCGCGAAAAATGATTTTGGGCAGAATGCATCGAAAGTCCAGCTGCCTGCAGTGAGATCAAAGATGCACCTGAGATAGACAAAGCGTCAACGTGAACTGCGGGATCGCAAATGACCGCAAAGCTTAAGGTCGCAGGAATGCATGAACGGAGAAAGGGGGGGTGGGGGGGGTTGGGGGGGTTTGCATGCAATGGAAAACAATGTTTGATATTCCTAAAGCTCTGCCTTCTGTCCTACTGACAACAAAGAGGAACCAGTTTGGCATCTCGGTATATTGATACTAAACAGGATTCCGGGCCGTTCGCTGAAACAGGCTTATTTTCACTGGAAATGAGTTTACATAAGGAACGCCCAAACCATTTTCTACCATCGAGTGCCCCTCTACACGCTACACCCTCCGTCCTTCCTAGAACCCCCGACTTCAGCGACCGCTGCAGCAGTTTGATGGCCTCTTGATGTTCCGGCGAGCAGCCCGTCCAAAGTGCCGAACTTTGTAGGCTGACTTTCCCTCATGTTACTTTTAGTTTTAAAAAGTCAACGTGTAACACTGCCTGAACAGAATGAGCCTCGGTACAGTAAGAAAAGACTACAAGACACACAGTAACATGCTCAGTTACAACACATACCTTGAAATGTTTATAGATCAAAGACATACACATTTAATCAAGGTACCTCACTGTTGTTTAAGCAGCAGATGTAAAGAAAAATATCCAGTTTCCCCATCTTCAAACAGCACAAAGCAACCTACGTTTCCTTTGCTGTTAATCTGTGACCCCCTTGTGTATTGATCATGGAATTTTCTTCTTTTTTTTTTTACATCACAAAAGACAAAGCAAATAGATCAAAGCCAAAGAGATGACTGTCCTTGGGTTCCTCCAAATCCAGTTATGAAACATGGGTGGAGAACCCCCCCCCCACCTCCAATCAATAGCATATGTTGTTAAGCTAAAAACCAATAATCCATTCAAGTTCATTCATGAAATCACAGCTATTACTTTATGTTGACTTTCTCGAAGCTTCACAGCCCTGAATCAGCTGAAGATGGGATGTCAGGCTCTCGTTAATATTCTCCCTGGTAGTCTGTGTTTTAGACCCCCTCTCTCACTTTTAAAATGGCCTTTACATCAGCGGTTCTCAACCTTTACCATGTCAGCTCAGGTCTCGACCCTATATCAAGTATAGGTTTAAATGAACGCTATGATCAAGCACGCGGTGCATTGTGCAATTTACGCCAATCAATGCCTATCGCACAAATCTGATTGGATGTGCCAGTGAATTTTAAATTAAGCATCTGTGGTTTGGCTTCTTGGATTGGTTAAATATTCACTAGTTTTGCACTAAGCAGACCCAAGACCTGTTTATATAGGTTAGTCCTAGGATTGGGGCTGGGGAATCTGATCGTGGATCAGCATAAGGCTTGCTGGTTTTAAAACACTTACATTTCCAACTCTGCCTCACGACCCTTTCAGAACTTGCCGCGACCCAGATTTGGTTCGCGACCCACAGGTCGAGAATAGCTGCTTTAAAGTGTCATGCGTACAAGTCATTATTGGAAATGCACCAAAGGACCTCAGATCAATCCCACATATATGTGCAGTACCTGCCTTGTGACGGTGCATGACTGAGTGGGGAAGTCGTTAAATGGCAAAAACAAAACTACCAAAGCGTTGAATAAACACTTAAGGAATGACATAAGAGAAAGTGTAACTGAGAGAGACCGACAACGGAAGTTTTAGCAAAACCGAAGCTCAAAACTTAACGCAAACTGCAGTCATAAATATCCCCAAACCACGCCAACCGCGAAGGGAAAAAAAAAAAATGTTTTCTGACTTGGGTATGAAATGTAACTTTCCAGAAATGCTAAATCTATTACTAAAAACAAGAAATATAGCTACCTATAAGGTAACTAAACACGTTTGACAGGAAACAGATTTTCTTACCCCCCCCCATCCCCCCCCCACCCGTCCGTGCGGCAGCTGAACACCACGGACTGTTCCGGAAGGCCCGGCTTTGTCTGAAGATTCAGGAGAAATGTTATTAATAGAGTGTAAGGCTGAGGCTGACGCAGAGAGCAGGCAGATGACAGCGTGCAGCATGTGCGATTCAGAGTGCAGGGACGCTAAATAAGTTAGCATGCTAACTCAGACTGAAGGGTATGGAAACATAAGATTGTGATACTCCCTAGAGGCTTGAGTCTAGCTGCCAATTAAGCAGCTAGTTACACTGCTGGGGGAGGAGGGGGGGGGGGTTTAAAACAGTCATTTTAGTGCTGGTACTACATTTTTCTTCCTTAACTGTGACCTGAAACCCTCATGGTGCTCTGCAGACATCGCTGGTTTCGTCTCGGGATCTCGTATATTGGACCCCATCCCCTACTGCAAATATTTGTCTCAATGACGCGTCACGGCAACGCACTCCTGTAATGGTTTGCCGAGCTTCCTGCTAGCCTGTCCTCTTTCAGGTAGTCCATTTTGCAAAAAAAAAAAAAACCCCAAAATGAATTAACAATACCATTTTCAGCAGGAAACATAATTAAGTAGCCAGAACAGGTAATTAAGAAGTGATGAAGCACTCTGACACTTCTAGCAAGGATGGGATTACTAGCGGAAACCTGAAATGGGCGACGGCTTACATCAGCGCCGCTAGTGAACATCATTCCAAAAAAAACACACAGATTAAATATCAATATCTTTCTGGGGACTCTCCATTTCTACAGGCATAACCCTAATCCCGACAAGGACAAACTTAACTCCTACTCAGCCCTAACCTTAACCTTAAGTAACCAAACTAAATACATTGCCATTTTTTGATTGCGTTCGCAAATTTCCAGATAAATGTCCCAAGGTCAAAATGGCATGTCGTGGGGACATTTGGTCCCTACAACGTAGTACGCAGAGGACCACAGACGCACAGAATGATTACCTCAGCCAGCTGTGCTTTGTTCAGACCCGGTCTCGTCTGCAGCTTGTAGTGTCGCTTGTAGCGCCTCAGCGTGTTTACCTGAAGTTGGAACAGGTCGACCTGCGGGCACACAAACAGCCATCGCCATCCTGCTCTCTGAGGTCACCTCCTGTAGCGTTACCATGGCAACCGCTTAACGTTAAGGCAGCTTAGTATCTTACAAGCTAACTCTGCCGTATTGTTTATTTAAAGGGGGGGAAACTTCAAACTAACAATGGATCTGTGTCAGCTCAGATTAACGCTACCTTAAAAATCCACATTTGGATAAAACAGCTGGATAAAAAATTCAACTCGACAAGCAGTTGGAGACGTGCACTGTCCCATGTTTAAAAACACCAGGAAACATTAAGTGTCAGGACCTGGTTTTACGCTAGGTCGTTAAAACGACCGATTAGATACGATCGCCAAAAAGTCACTGTAAGCACCTCCGGCACTTCTACGTCGTGGTCTGGGGATTCTCCGCCGTCGTCGCTCGTCTTCCTCTTCCGCTTGTTACGAACGCTCTGGATGAAGTTCTTATGGAAGTCGCAGATGTACAGGTGCCTGACCTGATGATAGAATCATTTCCCCTTCAGCAAAGGCTGGGCACTTGTCCAGCACAACTCACAGAAAAGCACGATTACAACAATACTCAATCTTTCCCTTTAAAATAGGGGCCAGCATGGAGCCAAATTCAAGGCAGCTCTCGCAGTGATGCGTCATGCCCATGGCCTGAGTATCCTTGGCAACGGCCATCTTTGAGTGGGAGGGGCTAAATCACGCTGGGATTGGATGTGTGGGCGGGGTTGTGGGGGAGGAGTTGGGGGCGTGGCAACACGGACTGACTGGTACTTTTTCCAGGACATGGCATCTGACCAATGCAGCCCTGCTGCGACAAACAACAGTCTGAAGGCCTCTAAGGACGTCCCCGGGAAGAGCAAGCTTGCTCACAAGGCTTAAACGCCACCCCGCAGGAACTAAACAGTTTTTACACAGCCAGAGTTGCGGAAACATCCACCATCTTAGCCAGCAGACGTGCACGTACGAGCAGGAACAGAATAAAAGGACAAACTCGGAAACTAAATCATATGTGCAGTCAGCTGAAGCGGTCAGTTTGTTTTTTTAATTTTGGAAAAACGTCCGTATTTGCTCGCATTCTATCAGTTAAAGGATTGTCTACTTGCAGCGGCTAAAGAGTGCGGCCAAAGTGAACACCCATGTGTCCCAACTTGCAAAGCACAGCCCTGGCATATAACAGCAAAATTAAGTTCATACGTACGCTCTTGTCAATATCCAGTTTGAGCTTCTTCTGCGAAATGCTCTTCTGGATGCGCTTGCTGAAGGAGGCGTTTCCAGCGGCCCTGCCGCAGCGCTCGCCGTCCTCGATGAGACAGCAGCTCTGGCCGTAAAACGGCGGCGCCGGGGGTCCGTCGTGGCTGTCCTCCTCCGTGCTGAAGCCGTTCATGGTGGACTCCTATGGATCGCCGTCACTCGTGTCCGCAGTTCCCCGTTTTGCGGGCCGGTGCGCGCACAACTACCGGCAAAGTAACCAGCAACTACCAGAAATAAGTGCCGGACTGCGTGTTTATGAAAAATTAATATTATTTAAAGATTCCAGATCGCGCGTTACAGCAAATCAAACGGGATGTCCCACGTAAAGTCGTCTGCAAATACCGCACTGCCAGGAAATTTTAAAAGATCATTTAAAAATAGCTGACTTTTACAAGTTGATGTTATTTGCAAAGGTTTTAGGGGACGATGCACTCAGTCGAAATGACGAGCGGGTTCTCCAGAGCAGCTACGACGCGTTTCGCTATCGGCCAGGACATCGACAGCGAGCACAGACAGACACGCTGGCTAACAGCTAGCTAATCCAAATAGCTGCGTCGACTTTGCCGTTGTGCCAAGACAGCCACGGGCAAAACGCAGCACTCCAGTCGGCTTTACCGTTTCCGTGCAGAAGTCTTTTTTAAAACATATATCCGTACTTCTGGCTCATTCGCCTACCCTAGCTAGAAACAACAATCACACGACTCTTCTGAACTGTCGGTACAATGAAACATGTTCGGCCCGTGAAGCGGAAGTGTTGTTTCTAAATCCACATTGGTCCGATTTCAGATGTAGGCGGGCGTTCGTGTAATAATGTTCTACCTCTGACCAATCAGCTTATTCGGTTCGCTTTCTTCCTGGTTCCCGATTCCCGCACAGTCTCTTTTCAGCAATACTTCATAGGCACTGGATGCGGGAAAGCGACCATATCTCTTACATGAAGTGTGTAATCTTTTACATATATTTATTTATATACCCGTTATATAACATATTTGTGAGTGGGCCTATTAAATTACTGTATTAAATAAGACACTATTCACATATGGTGAACGATCGGTTATAATTTAAGCGGAGGTTGATCGTTATTTAAAACATATTTGTTAATTTAGAATGAAACAAGAAGCAGGTGGAAAATGAGAAAGTACGACCACGATTTAAACATCACTAAAGCGTGTACATCCAACTGTTAACTTAATTTCATTTTAATACCCAAAATATTTTATTTCAGACTGAAATGGTTTTAATTTCAGTAAATCTCATTCCTTTCCCCCTCAATTACAGCACTTAATTGGGCACCCTGCCTAATTACCAGCACTAGAGGGAGCTACAGTTCGACATGCGAACGCACTCCAGAGCATAGCCTCTATGAATATTCCCAACTTGGAAATAGTGCAAGTAACTTATGTAGATCGCCAGACTATGCTTTCGAAGCTCACGTTCAGGGTGTTTATTATAAGCGGCTTCCTGTAACGGCTTCCATTTCTTTTCATATAAAACATAAATTAAACCACTTTTAATTTAAGGAAAGTCACACACAAGCAGAAAATTATTCAAATATAGATTTTTTTTTTAATTTCACATTTCAGCAAAAATATGATAGGATTCCAGTTTAGTTTTACAGTTCATTGTATATCTAAATATCTTTTTACTTCTGTGTCAGTACAAAAAAAAATACTGAATGAGATACAAAATGTACACAGATTCTCAAAACAAGACGTGTACGTAGTTTAGCATGAATCACGAACTGTAACAAACAAAAACAGTATTAAAAAGGAAACTGTCTTAGTATTCTATCCCCGACATGAGTTAATGAAAGAATATGCTCTGTATAAAATATCGAGTCCGTAATCGCTTCTAAAATTGTACAGTTCCAGATTACAGACTTCGTGAAACGGACAGTCTACAACAGAAAAAGGTACATTTACCTAAACCTTAAAGTCGTCAGCAGGTTAAATTCAAATTATGTTAAACTAACGTACATATTCCCAATCCACATGTTAACAAATTCTTAGTTTACAATAAAGTATTTTAATGAAATTAAAATAAAAAAAGTGGATCACAACTAAAGGGATGTCGATATCAAGGGCACACTCGCTCTTCGGATCATTCGCACAAATGGATCATTCAAATAAGCATCACTCGGCTACATTTAGGCCTACTTCTGTGGGATTTTTGTCACTCGCCAACGAAGACAGAACAGGTCAATGAATTACTCCCTATTGATTTTCTTTTCTCATCAGAATCTATTTAAAGCATTCGTTTGAACAGTTTACCGGTAGATCAAACTACTAAAGAAACATTTAAAGAACAAGAAATAGAGACAAGAACTGGAACACCACAGCTAAATGAAATTCGGTACGTCGCTGTTGAATGAACTTTGACCCCCGAGCTGCGGATTTCACGTAATCACAGATCTCTCTGAATCGTATGAGGTCATCGCTTAATGCCATTCGTCATCAGTATTACAGCTACCTCTCTTAGTAATATCAGTATTAACGAGAATATTGTTGAACAGCCAGGTCTGATTTGATTATGCTACCCTGATCTGCTGTACAGCCCCACGTCTAGGTTAATATTCGAGTCGCTCCACATTCATAACCAAAGCAATGCAGTGACACAGACTAGGTGCCCCCCGGTCAAAGTGCAGATGCGACATTAAGGTGCAAACTCCACTCCCAGCTCCTTTAAACTAAACATCTTCTTGTTCAGCGTATTTGGAATCTAGTTAGGTATGTGCATTTTTATGCTTCAAATACTACAATGTGGATTTTAAGATGTCTCATAAAAAAATGCACCACACTCCAGAAAAAAAAACTAAAACCAGAAAAGAGGGGAAATAAAATATCCTCTAAAACAAACACAACGCTTAAATACTTAAATATAAGTGCACATTAATGCATTGTCCCGTTCAAATCGATCTGACCATCACCTGAAATGCAGTGAGCATTAATAGGCACGCAGACACCCCCCCCCCCAGTCTTTAATGACATGCAGTATGAATCGGTTATGAACCTGAAACCATCCTATAACCACACAGAGGAAACACCACCCCCCCCCCCATTCACACCTGGGAAAACATCAGAAGGGCAATGACTGAATTAAAAGGCTCTGCCATCACTTCTTTACAAAGACTTTGCATGAAGTTCCAAATGTGGCTTTGCGGTGTGTAAGTTTTGCATCGCATGACAGCATGTGATGGAACGGCATGGGGTGGGATGGAGCATCATGGGATGGGACGGATCAGGATGGGACCGCATGGGATGGAATGGGATGGAACAGGACTGGACTGCATGGGGTGGGATGGGACTGCATGGGATTGCATTGGATGGGAGAACTGCATGGGATAGGATGGAATATAATGGGACTGGATGGAATGGGATGGAGCAAGATTGGACTGCATGGGGTGGGATGGGACTGCATGGGATTGCATTGGATGGGAGAACTGCATGGGATAGGATGGAATGGGATGGAGCAAGATTGGACTGCATGGGATGGGATAGGATGGGGTGGAACTGCATGGGATGGGATGGGATGTGAGGGCCATGTGTGGATGCCTGACCTGTTTTAACCCTTTATAACGTTTCATTGTTGGGCTCTTCAGGTGGGTATTCCTCTTCACTCCCAATAGAAACATACAGGAATAAATACAACCCATCAAAAGAAAGAGAGAGTCAATACCCAGGGGAAGAAAGACAGAAGGCATGATTTTCAGACCAAACAAGAGACGAGAGAAGCCGGCGTTTTGACCAGGCCACGCTTCTCTCTTCCGCCGCCCGACAAGGCACTGAGATTTCATTCAAGTTTAACGTTTAAAGTGCCCCCGTGTTACAGGAGTGTCACCTCGGCAGCTGCCCGAGGACCAGGCCAGTCCAGGGGTGACGTCATACAGCCATCCCAAGCAACACCCTGGGATCCCCTACTGAACTCTTTCCGGAAGCTCCTATGGCAACTGAAGATAAAGTTCCATGTCATCTACTGCACTATATGCACCGTAATGTTGACTCAGCTTATCAGAGGGCGTATAACTAAAAAAAAAAAAAAGTGTGTAATGCATTAATGGTATCCAAGCCCTTACTTCTAAAAGTGGGGACTGCCTCTTATACCATAATTTACACTCAAATAAGCCACACATCTGACATTAAAGAAAGAAAAAAAAAAACAAACAGCATTCTTCTATAGACATTTCTCCTGTTCCGATGCCACAGCATCCCATAGCATCAAGGGTACAGACTCCGCACAGAATCTCTACCATCTGCCAGCATCCACAATGATGCCCTAGGTTTTGCCGACTGAGAAGTCCCTCGGTGTCACAGATGGTGGACGTGCTGCTGCGTGTGTGTGTGTGTGTGGGGGGGGGGGTAGTAGGGACCGTGGGCGAGAGGCTGACGTCCGTAACGGGGACAGATGCACCAGAGGACACATCCGCGAGCTTCCTGGAAGCCTGGCTCGGCAGAAGGTAACCTGAACCAGACCAGTGTCCAGATCCTGAAGTACTTGCTGGCGCCCTCTCCTGGCCAAGGTAAGTTTCTCATCCCTTGCCTCCTCCCTCCAAACACGGCTGCATTTCAACCGGCCCAGTTGGTCTCTGTAGTGATTTCAATATGTACATAGTTACTGAAACTACTTCATCCCACGCCCCAACCAAACCCAACCCCACCGCAGAGCACATTCCTGAGTTGGTTTCTTCCTCGTCGGAAGGGAGCAGGTGGAAGAGGTCGCCGGAACTCAGATGTCGTTGCCGAACTGCTCCAGCACAGTGCTGTTGGTTTTCTCGAATATCCAGCGCTGGCTCGGAGAGCTGGAGTCACACGTGCTCATGAAGACCTTCTTCTCCGAGGTGCTGCCGTCCATGCAGCTGTTACTGACTGGGTGGTACAGACTCTTATCCTGCGTGGGGGGGGGCGGGGGCAAAGTTAAGGGCAAATAATTGGAGACGAAAAAGATGGGCAGGAGGATAGGAACCCAGAGTCGGG